TTTATTCATATCATTGATTCCGTGTTATATAACACATTTGTGAATGCAGTTTAGTTCTTTGTAATTTATTCAAGTTCAAGGGAGGAAGTTACTGAGAAGGTGAGCTGGCCAACATAAACTGTGACGCTTCATGCACAAGCAGCTCCACAGATGTCATAGTAGTACCAGCCGCCATTGAACAATTAGACTATATGTGCCACGCCTAAACAGAAGTTGGACAACATAACACAGCCTAATTAGGCTATATCAACCCCTCAGCTAAAGCTTTACGTGTTATTTAAAACTGTAGATAGAGCAGTATTATTCATAATATTGTTAGTTTAGGCCACCATATGTGGTATAATTTATATTAGAATTAAGGTAAACAATTTGTAGCTTATCCTGTATCTACTCATAGTGGTATGAGCAACAATTGTCCCTCCAACTATGCGCAGATAAGTTCTGGCAGGCTCAAAATATACAGTCCACTAAGACTCATAAAAATACAATATTCAAGTAACAAAAAATTGAATAAAATTAAATAAATGCCTGCTAGGATGTTCCCACAATACATATACTCCACAACTTATACATGCCTATACAATAGCCTGTTTTTTCCAACATTACCCTATTTAGTCAGATGTAATTTTTGAGAATTGCATATGGGTTTTGAAAGGTTTTTGAGAATTGCGCGTGTATAATATATATATATATATATATATATATATATATATATATATATATATATATATATATATATATATATATATATATATATATATATATGTCGTACCTAGTAGCCAGAACTTACTTCTCAGCCTACTATTCAAGGCCCGATTTGCCTAATAAGCCAAGTTTTCCTGAATTAATTTATTTACTATATTTTTTTCTAATGAAATGATAAAGCTACCCTTTTCACTATGTATGAGGTCAATTTTTTTTTATTGGAGTTAAAATTAACGTAGATATATGACCGAACCTAACCAACCCTACCTAACCTAACCTAACCTATATATATAGGTAAGGTTAGGTTAGGTAGCCAAAAAAAGCTAGGTTAGGTAGGTTAGGTAGACGAAAAAAATTTAATTCATGAAAACTTGGCTTATTAGGCAAATCTGGCCTTGCATAGTAGGCTGAGAAGTGAGTTCTGGCTACTAGGTACGACATATATATATATATATATATATATATATATATATATATATATATATATATATATATATATATATATATATATATATATATATATATATATATGTCGTACCTAGTAGCCAGAACGCACTTCTCAGCCTATTATGCAAGGCCCGATTTGCCTAATAAGCCAAGTTTTCATGAATTAATTGTTTTTCGACTACCTAACCTACCTAACCTAACCTAACCTACCTTTTTGGGCTACCTAACCAAACCTAACCTATAAAGATAGGTTAGGTTAGGTTAGGTAAGGTTGGTTAGGTTCGGTCATATATCTACGTTAATTTTAACTCCAATAAAAAAAATTGACCTCATACATAATGAAATGGGTAGCTTTATCATTTCATAAGAAAAAAATTAGAAAAAATATATTAATTCAGGAAAACTTGGCTTATTAGGCAAATCGGGCCTTGCATAGTAGGCCAAAAAGTGAGTTATGTGCAAAAGCAAAAAGTGAGTTACGACATATATATATATATATATATATATATATATATATATATATATATATATATATATATATATATATATATATATATATATATATATATATATGTCGTACCTAGTAGCCAGAACGCACTTCTCGGCCTACTATGCAAGGTCCGGTTTGCCTAATAGGCCGAGTGATTGTCTTTATTTTTAATAAATTGTTTCCAATTAGTTTATTGGAATTATTATTATTATTTTATATTAGGAACATAATTTATTGACTTAGTTGTGTTAGTTTAGGTTAGGTTAAGATAGGATAGGTTAGGTTAGGTAGGGTTGGCTAGGTTCGTTCATATATCTAAGTTAGTTTTAACTTAAATTTACAAACAATTAATTCATACATAATGAAATGGATAGCTTTATTATTGTTCATAAGAAAAAAATATTGAAAAATATATAAATTCAGGAAAAGTTGGCTTAATAGTCAAATCGGGCCTTGCATAGTAGGCTGAGTACGACGTTCTGGCTACTAGGTACAACATATATATATATATATATATATATATATATATATATATATATATATATATAATAAATATATATATATATATGCGAACAAGCCTGAATGGTCCCCAGGACCATTTCATATATATATATATATATATATATATATATATATATATATATATATATATATATATATATGTGTGTGTGTGTGTGTGTGTGTGTGTGTGTGTCTGTTGGCAGCTTGGAGATTTTACCATGCATTGTGTCATGATGTTTGTGGGAGGCTTGACGATGTTAACGCCAAACGAGTAATATAATGGTCGGGCTTGACAGTGTGTTATTTTCTTTCATTAATGTGAATAGGAGATAGACGGTTTCATTTATTCTTATGTTCAATAAACGATCTTTGGTTATATACTGAAAATATTCTTCTTCTTGAGGTGATCTGGAGATGATTTTGAGGCTTAGTATTCCCGCGGCCCGGTCTTCGACCAGGTCTCCTTTTTGTAACACTCCCCCAGGAATTAGCCCGCATCAGCTGTCTAACTCCTACATACCTATTTACTGCTAGATAACAGCAGTAAATATCAGGGTGAAAGAAACTCTGCTCATTTGTTTCCGCCTTCACCGGGGATCGAACCCGGAACCTCAGGACTACGAATACGAAGCACTGTCCACTCAGCTGTCAGGCCCCACAAGGGCCTTGTTAGGGGCTACTAACAATCTTTCTCACATTTTAATTATCCTTTTACTAGTTGCTAAAAAGAATTGGCACAAATAGTTAGGCTAAGAGTAAAGCGTACAAAAGATAAATGGACATGATAAGGATATACTCTTATATATAATATAATAATAAGGCATAATAAGGATATATATACTGAAACTCTTCTTGGACAGATGTAATAGGACCCATTATCACCACACCAGAAATAAATATCTCTTTGATATCTCCAGAGTTAAACTTAATCTGTGTAAACACTCTATGCAAATAAAGGGACCCAGTTTATGGAACTCACTCCCTACTGAATTGAAAAGCTGTCCAACTTTTACATCATTCAAAATCAATACTAAAAAGTACCTAATTTCATCTTCATAGTTTTTCACTTTTTGCCTTAAAATTGCACTGTATCAATTGCTACCCAATCTCCCAACCTTTATGTACCCAATCTGAACATCTTTAACATTGTGATCATTGCTGTCTTATATGTGCTGTCAATCTGCTGTATGGTGTCTATTAACCTTGTTTAAATTACTAATCAAGCTGTCAATGTAATTAATCAGAGCTTTAATATAACAATGTGCTTTAATGTACCTACTTATCTCTCTCATCTCATTTTTCTCTTGTAATGTATCTTTATCTTTTATCAATGCTGATTGAAATTACCTACTTAAAATTATCTGCTAGATTAAGGACCTGCCCGAAACGCAGTGCGTACTAGTGGCTTTACAAGAATGTAAATACTGTACTATCCAATGTATTCTCACAAACCCAATGTACCTTCTTGTATATATATAAATAAATAAATAAATAAATATATTATATTACCTATGGATAGGTGGCATGATTGAAGTGTTCATATGGATAAACGGGTATAAAAGGAGGGGTAACAATAGAGTATTTATCTGAGTTAAAAAGACATTGTTAAATACAGTTGAACAATGTGCCATTTCCTTGCTTCTTATGTATAGAGCTTCTGCAGTTTCATACAGGTGGATAAATAGATACAGTCGATTATGAACCAATAGACCTGCAATTTCATTCTAATGTCTATTATATAACTTTTAACTGGAAATATGCAATCGTTGAAGATGGGATTAAATATGTAATCGATGACAACGGACTGATTGAGAGTGGATGAAGTCTGGCTGGCTGATGTGGGCACTGAAAATTAGGGATGACGGAATGGTGCTGCTTAATCTTCATGTGAAAAATAATGTATGCCAGAATGGAGCTCTTTAATCTCCACAGAAAAAATTCAGGAGCCATAATGGGCTGTTTAATCTCCACGGAGAAAAAATAAAGAGGCGGGATCAAAGCGTAGCATTTAATGGAAAAAATATGGAGACAGAAGTGAAGCATTGCATTACTCGGAAAAAAAATAAAGGAGAAGGAAGCGAGGCTTCGCATCTTATGGAAAATATAAGGAGACGGAAACGAATTGTCGCAAAAAACTAAAGTGCTTCTGTTGTTGTTGTTATAGATTCAGCTACTCGGAACAAGTTCCAAGTAGCACGGGCTATGGTGAGCCCGTAACTTACCTGGCACAGGAGCGAAGCAAGAAGCACGGGCTATGGTTAGCCTCGTGGAAGGGAGATGTCTCCCGTCTGTAAAGTGCTTCGTTCTAGTCTCCTTTTATACTACTGATATGTGCCCTTGAAATCCTTTCATTTTTGAAAGAGGTGTTGGTGGCTCAGTAGGTAAAGCTGCGAGCTACAGTTCAAGTGGTCAGCGTGTCGAGTCCCCCATTGTCTGGGTCAATGAAATTGTGTTTGTATATATATATATATATATATATATATATATATATATATATATATATATATATATATATATATATACAGTATATATATATATATATATATATATATATATATATATATATATATATATATATATATATATATATATATATATACAGTATATATATATATATATATATATATATATATATATATACAGTATATATATATATATATATATATATATATATATATATATATATATATATATATATATAGATATATATATATATATATATATATATATATATTCATTTATATCTAATAGAAATTAAGATTGAAGTTGAAGTGACAAATATAATGCCTCTTAAACTTCCTAAACTGTATATGAAGGGGTGGTGAAAAATAACAGAAATTGCACATATATAAGTTACCTGTATTTCGTGATTACAGTCAGGAACCATTTTCTTGACCTTCACTTGGCATCCTCCACACTTCTCGACGCATTTCTTCGGACATTGATGTCCACACTCCAACATCTTCCTGCAGTTTTGGTAACATTTTATGTCTTCCTTTGGAATACAACACTGAACTTCGTGTTGATGGCCACAGATTGCATCTTTCTTAATTATAATTGTGCACTTGTTACAGTCCTCATGGCACAGCATTTTACAAGGATGGTCCTTTGAGCAGCCTTCTAATAGGCGAGTACATTGTTGTTTACATTGGTAATCAAGATGATCTGGATCTTCTGTAATATGGCAAATCTTTATGCATTTATGACCGCACTCAAGCCGTATGTCGCAGGTAGTGGGACATGGAAGTGTTTCTGGCTTTATGTAACAGGCCATTTTGACGCTATGGCGACAGCCTGGTATCATTTTGTCAACAGCAATTGGGCAGTTTACTTCGTTGTTGACGTTACAGCACATAACCTGGTAAGCAAGTCCACAGAGCAATGAATTAGAATGGTTTCAGAAGTGTGCAAAATAACATTTCACTCACCTTCATCCGAGGAGATTTTCAACTCTGGCTTGAAAAAACGAGCTCGTAGTCTTACTAGTTGGATTCCATTTGAGTATGAGATGCGTCCTTATTATGAGCACATGTGGGCTCGTTGACTGGACAGCACTTTCGCATTTGTAAGAGCCGAATTCAAATCATTATTGATTCTTGTTAATTAAGTTCTTGTTCATCAATCTACGCTAATGTGGACTGTATATTACATGGGAAGTATGAAGGGGTGGATTATATCTGAGGATCTTAGTGAGCCCAGTCTGCTAAGTGTACTTATGTGCAACATAAGTGTATTAAAAAAAACTCAAGTCTAAAATAACAAAGAAATATTTTTCGTTAACACACGTGTGTGATTCTGAAGCAGCCTCCCCATGCAAGCTGTATCAGTGGGGCTGTATCAGGAATGTTACTGATTGATTGATTGATGAATATTAAGCCACCCTAGAAGTGGCACGGGCATGAATAGCCCCTAAGTCGAAGATTTTTTTGGAGTGAATGTATACTGTGTGCTAAGGTCGCATTTAAATCGTCTATTATATATATATATATATATATATATATATATATATATATATATATATATATATATATATATATATATATATATATATATATATATATATATATATATATATAAATATATATATTTTGTCCGGTCGTGATGGTCAAGTGGATTAAGGCGTCTTGTACATACCAGTTGCGTTGCTTCTGGGAGTATGGGTTCGAGTCACTTCTGGGGTGTGAGTTTTCAGTTGCATATTGTCCAGGGGACCATTCTGGCTTGTTCGCATATATAAATATATATATATATATATATATATATATATATATATATATATATATATATATATATATATATATATATATATATATATATATATATATATATATATATATATTATATATATATATATATATATATATATATATATATATATATTTATATAGATATATATATATATATATATATATATATATATATATATATATATATATATATATATCTATAAATAAAAATAAAAAGTATTCAGGGGAGACCTTGTGGTTTCTCACTGAACACTAATATTATCTTCTCCTACCACCCCCATTCTTTTGTATGTACACATATATATTTACTGTATTTGAACTTTGTTACAAAAAAGGAGTTACATATGGGTTACAAAGATGGTTGTCATAGGTTGTCGAGTTCCTCCAGCTCCTCAGATGGCGGGCAGGAACCCTGGATGCAGTGCGCATTTCCCCTCTGTATCGCCACACTGAGGCGCTGGAAAAGAAAGCTTGCAGCTCTTGGGTCCCTTGTTGTTTCAATATATATATATTGTTATGTATATATATAACCTTGTTGTTATATATATATATATATATATATATATATATTATGTTTGGGCAGTCAGATCAGTGATCGACTATGCCGCACCTGCACTCACAAGCCTATCACAACAACAGTGGAAAAAGCTTGAAGTGGCACTAAACAAAGTTATGCTCCTGCCCTGGGAGCCACGATGTGGACCAGGCTTGAAACTCTAACACTGGAAACGGGTGTGTCCTCTCTTCAAGAAAGCATATCTCATAGAACAGCTACGATTATCAGTAAGATAATTATTTCCCCTGATCCAGTCCCAGTACGACAGGCCTTGGTGGTTGGACTTGGCCAACTCAACGGAAACTCTTGAGCTCCCAGAGCGGGAGAAGTCCTAAACAGACTACAGTTAAAGAGCATGATTCTTGATAGAGGATGTGATCAACCACACCCAAACTCCACTTGTTCCCCCACCGTGGGAGGAGCCATCCTTCAAAATAGTAACAGAAAGTCTACCAATGAGAAAGGCTGTGTATGATCCAACAATCCTAAGGCGCATTATAGAAAAGCAAATGAGCAGCATTGCAGTAGCGAGAGCCACCCACATCTTCACAGAGGGATCGGTGGACACAGAATATGAGAGTGCTGGCGCTGCTCTTTGCACGGACAGCGAACAGGCATATTTGGAGACTGGGAGGACTAGTATCATCAACCCAAACGGAACTGTTTGCTAGACAACAGGCATTCGCATATGCGATTGCACAAAATATTCAAAATGCAATCATACACACAGACTCAAAAGCTTCACTTCAAATATTAGGAACGAAGCAATGGACAGACAATGTGGAAATAATTACCACTATTTTGTATCAAGGAGCAGTAGCTAAAGGCAAAGAACTCAACATCGCCCTAAACTGGATCACATCCTATATTGCAGTCCCATTAAAGGAAAAAGCCGCTGAAACTGCTAAATTGGCAACTCGTCATTCAGTGATACATACGACAATCCAACCCAGCCTAGAGTACATAAAAAACATCATCACCAACAAACTCTCATACCTCGACAAAGCTCATCTACTCCAGAGAGTAGCACAAGGTTCGCTCTCTGCAATATAGTATCTTCAGGCCACCAAGTTAGACAGGTTAAATATCCCGAAAGCAATCCACAGGAAAATAGCAGTTTGGTTATATAGACTACGTCTAGGTTACATATGCAAGTGGGAAATTAGTGACCCCTGAGAGTGGAAATGCATCTTCTGCCAAAAAATTACAGACAAGTCCTTACTTCACTATCTCCTGGAATGTGACGCAACTAACGACCTTAGAAGAGCTTTAAGAGTCCCTGAATCTTGCAGTAACCACACTGACGCCATCAACGCTGTCACTTCTCTGGTAATGAAAAGTGTCCAGCAGCTGGACACCTTCATATTTCCTCCCCCGTGATAGCAGCCGCATAGTAAGGGACTGACGATTTTAATGCGACCTCAGCACACAGTTTACATTCACTCCAAAAAATCTTCCACTTACGGGCTATTCATGCCCGTGCCACCTCTTGAGTGGCTTAATATTCATCAGTCAATCAAGCAGTAATACTCCTGATACAGCCCCACTCCTGTGCCAGATAAGACCACTACTGGCTCACCATAGCCCGTGCTAATTGCAACTTTTGGTACCGAGTGGCTGAATCTAAAACAACATGTAGTATCCATCCTTCTGAAGATGTATTGATAAATACGTAAGTACTTAAGGAATTCCCTGTTTCATATATATATATATATATATATATATATATATATATATATATATATATATATATATATATATATATATATATATATATATATATATATATATATATATGTATGTGGCCAGGGAGAATTGCCTGTCTCTGTGACCACCACTGAAGCACAGAAAGATTAGGGATACCACGCCCTAAGTCACAATAACATAATAAGTTAGTAATAGTGCTCATAAGTGCTGGTGCTTTGTGCTACGGTTTTAGCTCTTGGGGGAATGAACACATTTCTGAAACTCTGATTGACTCTACTGCTAGGATTATTAAATGTTTTCTTAGCCGTAAAGCTGCATCTGTAACTAATATGCGGATATTGCAACCACGAGGAGATCGCATTGGTCTTCTACATTGTTCAATAAAGAGTTTAGGACTACACACACACACACACACACACACACACACACACACACACACACACACACACACACACACACCCACACACACAAACACACACACACACACACACACACCCACACACACACACACACACACACACACACACACACAAACATGTGAACAAACATTAACATGGGTTCTGGACAGGGAAATCGTGCCTAACAAACCTTCTGGAATTCTATGATAAAATAACGAGGATAAGACAGGACAGAGATGGTTGGGCAGACTGCATATTTCTGGACTGCCAAAAAGCCTTTGATACAGTACAGCACATGAGACTGCTGTTCAAGCTCGAGAGGCTGGCGGGGGTGGGGGGAAAGGTCCTAGCATGGATAAGGAACTACCTAACAGGAAGGAGCCAAAGAGTTACGGTAAGGGGCGAGAAGTCGGACTGGCGAACAGTAACAAGTGGAGTACCACAAGGATCGGTGCTGGGACCAATTCTATTTCTTGTATATGCTAACGACATGTTTACAGGCGTAGAGTCCTACATGTCGAAGTTTGCGGATGACGCAAAGTTGATGAGAAGAGTTGTGACAGATGAGGATTGCAGGATCCTCCAAGAGGACCTGAACAGGTTGCAGAGATGGTCAGAGAAATGGCTACTGGAATTCAACACGAGCAAATGTAAAGTTATAGAAATGGGACTAGGAGATAGGAGACCAAAGGGACAGTACACAATGAAGGGGAACAGGCTACCTGTGACAACGCGCGAAAGAGACCATGGTGTGGACGTAACACTTAATCTATCTCCTGAGGCACATATAAATAGGATAACGACAGCAGCGTTCTCTACACTGGCAAAAGTTAGAACATCATTCAGAAACCTAAGGAGGCATTTAGGGCGCTTTACACTGCCTACGTGAGGCCAGTCATAGAGTATGCCGCCTCATCATGGAGTCCCCATCTGAAGAAGCATATAATGAAACTGGAAAAGGTTCAGAGGTTTGCAACGAGACTCGTCCCAGAGCTACGAGGGATGGGGTATGAGGAGCGCCTGAGGGAACTGTGCCTTACGACGCTAAAATGAAGAAGGGAGAGGGGGGACATGATAGGAACATATAAAATACTCAGAGGGATTGACAGAGTGGACATAGACGAAATGTTCACACGGAATGGTAACAGAACGAGGGGACATGGATGGAAGCTTGAAAATCAGATGAGTCACAGAGATGTTAGGAAGTTTTCTTTTAGCGTGAGAGTAGTGGGGAAATGGAATGCACTTCAGGAACAGGTTGTGGAAGCAAATACTATTCATAATTTTAAAACCATGTATGATAGGGAAATGGGACAGGAGTCATTGCTGTAAACAACCGATGCTCGAAAGGCGGGATCCAAGAGTCAATGCTCGATCCTGCAGACACAACTAGGTGAGTACAACTAGGTGAGTATACACACACACACACACACGCACACACACACACACACACACACACACACACACACACACACACACACACACACACACACACACACACACACACACACACACACACACACACACACACAGGAACAACCTTCAGGAACCTGTGTAAGAAATCGTTTACAATCTTGTACACAACATATGTAAGACCAATCCTGGAGTATGCGGCCCCAGCATGGAGCCCGTACCTTGTCAAGCCCAAAACGAAGCTGGAAAAGTTCAGAGGTATGCCACTAGACTAGTCCCAGAACTAAGAGGCATGGGTTACGAGGAAAGGCTGCGGGAAATGCACCTTACGACACTGGAAGACAGAAGAGTGAGGGAAGATATGATCACTACCTACAAAATCCTCAGGGGAATGGACAGGGTAGACAAGGATATACTATTCAACACTGGCGGTACGCGAACAAGGGGACACAGGTGGAAACTGAGTACTCAAATGAGCCACAGGGACATTAGAATGAACTTTTTCAGTGTCAGAGTAGTTAACAGGTGGAATGCATTAGGCAGAGATGTGTTGGAGGCTGACTCCATATACAGTTTTAAATGTAGATATGATAGAGCCCAGTAGGCTCAGGAATCTGTACACCAGTTCATTGACAGTTGAGAGGCGGGACCAAAGAGCCAAAGCTCAACCCCCGCAAGCACAATTAGGTGAGTACACATTAGACCTTGAAAATCATTAAAGATAATACGGAATATTTCACCTTAATGTGATAGCTTCAATAAAGTTATACATATGAACTGACGATATTAAGCTTCCTGTAAAGACTGAATTAAAAATAATTAATCGTGTCTAGGAATTGATGTATACAAAAAGATAAAGTTTCATTGTTTTCACAGTCAGTCATAAATATAAAAATGGAACCAAGTTACTAGATTTTACCAAAAAATCATTAAAATCTTGGGAATCAGGAAAAAAGACATAGAACCTCAACAACATTACCATACAACTTAGTATTATATGAAATAACTTAATATTATAAGAATTTAAGATTACAGAAGTTACCTGCATTTCGTGATTACAGTCAGGAATCACTTTCTTAACTTTCACTTGGCATCCTCCACATTTCTCGAAGCATTTCTTGGGACAGTGATGACCACACTCCAACATCTTCCTGCATTTTTGGTAACATTTTATGTCTTCTTTGGGCACACAACATTGAACTTCGTGCTGATGGCCGCAGACCGCCTTTTTCTTAATTATTATGGTGCATACTTTACACTCTTCATGGCAGAGCATCTTGCAAGAATGGTCCCTTGAGCAGTCTTTCGGTAACCGAGAACATTGTTCCTTACATTTGTAAGAAGTATGATCTGGATCATTTGTAACATGGCAATTTTTTTTGCATGTATGACCACACTCGAGCTGTTTTGCACATGAAACAGGACAAGTAAACATTTCTGGAGCCATGAAACAAGGCATTTTGACACGGTGTTCACAGGCTGGTATATCTTTCTCAACAATTGTTGGGCATTTGAATTCTTTATTGAAGGCACAACATAGGACACGGTGAGTGTGCCCACAGGGCAGAGTCTTGGGCACGTGTACCCTACAAGGTTCACAAGCTTCCCAACATTCACCAGGGCATGGATGATCCCGTTCACACAATGTCTTTGGACAGGGTAGTCGACACTTGACTTCCCTGTGTTCCATGTCACTAATATGACAGATCATCGGACAACTGTGACCACATTTTGGCAGAGATGAAGAACAAGGCTTCAGGCAACCTCCTTCAGGACTCTTTCTCAGGATATCCAAACCGGTCGTTACTGACATCATCTGGTCTCTGTGGTTCTCACACCTCAGAGTAAGCGACTTACCCAAAGATTCATCTGCAGAAAGATCAGCCTCGACCTTTTTCCATAAGTCGCTTGACATCCTCAGTTGGTCCATATTTCCAGTGATATACAGACCGTGTTTGGCTCTGGAGAGCGCCACACACACGCGGTTATCAGAACTTAGAAACCCAACTTTTTGCTCTTCATTGCTGCGTACCAGCGATAAGAGGATAATATTACTCTCCTCACCTTGGAAGTTATCCACTACACTTATCCTCACGGCGTGACACACCTGGTACTTGCGTTGTACCTGCAGGTACAAACACATAATGCATTAGTGTCGTGAAAGACGAGCCAGCTCAAAGTAGTACAACTGTCAATCTGTTTTTGAGATAAATCTTATAACAATTTTGTCTTCAATTCCTAAATAAACACAGACACACTAGACAGTAAATGGAATGTAAAGCGCGATATTAATTAATATGATGCTTCCTGGCTTTACGGTCGATTATATTATAGTATCTCGTACACATACTTGTAGAAATATCTCATACACATACTTGTTGAAATATCTCATACACATACTTGTAGAAATATCTCATACACATACTTGTTGAAATATCTCATACACATACTTGTAGAAATATCTCATACACATACTTGTAGAAATATCTCATACACATACTTGTTGAAATATCTCATACACATACTTGTAGAAATATCTCATACACATACTTGTAGAAATATCTCATACACATACTTGTTGAAATATCTCATACACATACTTGTTGAAATATCTCATACACATACTTGTAGAAATATCTCATACACATACTTGTAGAAATATCTCATACACATACTTGTAGAAATATCTCATACACATACCTGTTGAAATATCTCATACACATATATGCTGTAGTACTTAATACATATACATGTTGCTGTGCGTCATACATGTAACCAAATATATATAAAAGTATGAGTGGCCAGCTTGACTGGTGCGGGGAATGGATGAGCGGCCAGCTTGACTGGTGCGGGGAATGGATGAGCGGCCAGCTTGACTGTGCTGACACGAGTGACACATCAGTGCAGTTCGTGTCTCCTCTTCTTGACAGCTCGAGCAAACCTAGTCCTCTCGCACTCGTCTCTTCCTCTAATTTGTGCACACACTGCACAAATTGTCACACTGTATAAGAGGTCTGGTAGCTGAGTGGACAGCGCGCCGGACTCGTAATTCTGTGGCCCGGGTTCGATTACCGGACTAGGCAGAAACAAATGGGCAGAGTTTCCTTCACCCTGATGCCATTGTTACCTAGCAGTAAATAGGTACCTGGGAGTTAGACAGCTGTTATGGGCTGTTTCCTGTGTGTAGGAAGCATGGGGCGGCGTAGTCTAAAACTGGGCTTACCTAGGCGGTATACCATGGTCTAAATTTAAGGCCTCTTAGCTTAAGTTCATGAAGAAAGTTCTGGCGTTCTTCTATTCATATGAAACTCTGGAATTATGTTTGAAGTTATGTTCACTCACAGGTCTTTTTCTCTAGTCGTTACAGTGAGGTAGTTCCCCCTTCATCGTCTACTATCCTATCGGCCTCCTTGCTCTTGTTCCCGTTTCCATCTTCTTACACTTCCTGGTGATGAACTCTAGCATCCATTTCTCGAACCAGCTCTGAAGCGTATTTAAATCATCATTGAGAATCTTACAATCCTCATTTGTCACAACTCTTCTCATCCGTTTTGCATAGTCTCCAAAGCGACATACAGCACTCAATTCCTGCGGTCAGGTCACTTACATAAGTGAGGAATAGTATGGATCTCAGCAGCTATCCTTGAGGAACTCCGCTTGTAACTCTATGCTAGTCCGACTCCTCGCCCCTCACTCTCTCTCTCTCTCTCTCTGGCTCCTGTCTGTTAGGTAATTTCTTACTCATGTTTGTGCGTGTTCGCTTACTCCCGCCTACCTCTTGCGTTTGTACAGTAATCTCCTGTACAGTACTGTGTCAAAGACTTTTTGGCAGTTCAGAAATACTTAATCTACTCAACCTTCTCTCTCTTGCCTTATTTTCGTTACCTTATTATAAAACTCCAGGAGTTGTTGTTGTTTAAGATTCGCTACTTGGAACAAAAAGTTCCAAGTAGCACGGGCTATGGTGAGCCCGTGACTCCAGGAGGTTCGCCTTGCATGATTTCACTTCTATAAAGCCTTGTTAATTTTTGCTTACATACCAATTTTTTATAGGTGTGCATCTAGTCTAACCCTTGTTATTCTTTCGAGTACTTTGCAAAGGATGCTTGTGAGTGAACTGGGTGGTAGTTAAGTGATTCTTCTATATATATATGTTTTGTAGATATACTGGAAGGTGCTGGAAGACATTTGCCGTCTTCCAGCAGCTGGGCAATTTTCCCTTTATAAGTGACTCAAAAAAGATCATTGCTAGAGGTATTCATAGGACTTGTGCCGCTTCTTTCAACATCCATGATGATACTTTATCTGGCCCAATAGCTTTAGTTTCGTCTAGTAACTGTAACTGCTTTCTTACTTCCTCTATTGGTACCTCAATATTTAATACTCTCTCGTGAGGTGTTGACTTCTCTTCTAACTCTGGGAGCTGTTCAGGCTCTGTAGTGAACACTCCCTGGAGGCTGACACTCCCTGGAGGCTGACACTCCCTGGAGGCTGACACTCCCTGGAGGCTGACACTCCCTGGAGGCTGACACTCCCTGGAGGCTGACACTCCCTGGAGGCTGACACTCCCTGGAGGCTGACACTCCCTGGAGGCTGACACTCCCTGGAGGCTGACACTCCCTGGAGGCTGACACTCCCTGGAGGCTGACACTCCCTGGAGGCTGACACTCCCTGGAGGCTGACACTCCCTGGAGGCTGACACTCCCTGGAGGCTGACACTCCCTGGAGGCTGACATTAAGTCCTCATCAATTTCTTTATCATTTTCTGTATACTGGCTCTCACCTTTTTGGTAGCAAAGTCACTTGGTCATTCACTGTCATTTTCCTTCTTATATGGTTATGTAGGAGTTTTGAATGTTTCTTTGATTTGGAAGCAATACAATTGTCATTGTTCCTTTCCGACACACTACTTATATTTCTGTATTCATTCGTAAACTTTTTTTTTATAATGGTCATACCAATATAAGAAGACCGAAGGTGACATCGTTCATTGGGGCGTGTAAATTGGTATATGTTTGTTTCGTGGAGAGTTGTATTGTTCATTGGGGCTGTTCTTAAGTGTTAAATCAGCAGTCCTCTTTGTTTTACAGTATAATATGAATTCCAATCTTTGGTCTGGGGCTGTCGGTTTCACTCCAGTTGAAATAATATTTTTAATTATTCTTTCTTCCGTTTTATACTGTGACTAATGCACCAATGATTGTCTTAGATCCTTGGTGTGGTGGTCACGGTACTGTGTATGTTTAGGTGTGATCCTGGACGGCATGGGTTCGAATCTTGGCAGGGTCATATAGAGTTCTTAGTGATTATATATATATATATATATATATATATATATATATATATATATATATATATATATATATATATATATATATGTCGTACCTAGTAGCCAGAACGCACTTCTCAGCCTACTATGCAAGGCCTGATTTTCCTAATAAGCCAAGTTTTCCTGAATTAATATATTTTCTCTAATTTTTTTCTTATGAAATGATAAAGCTACCCATTTCATTATGTATGAGGTCAATTTTTTTTTATTGGAGTTAAAATTAACGTAGATATATGACCGAACCTAACCAACCCTACCTAATCTAACCTAACCTATCTTTATAGGTTAGGTTAGGTTAGGTAGCCGAAAAAGTTAGGTAGTCGATAAAACATTAATTCATGAAAACTTGGCTTATTAGGCAAATCGGGCCTTGCATAGTAGGCTGAGAAGTGCGTTCTGCTACTAGGTACGACATATATATATATATATATATATATATATATATATATATATATATATATATATATATATATATATATATATATATATATATATATATATATATATACATATATATATATATATATATATATATATAACAATCAACATATTACCAAACATTCTGGTTGATAAAAATACACATTACTTCCTGTACACGTGCAGTATAATACCAGACGTACACACTAATACTTTTATGACAAGGTACACAGACATAAGTTCCGATAGACATCCAGACTATTTTAAAAAGGTTACAATCTTGGTGCAAAATTCTTATATCTCTCCAATATCATTATTCTTTCTGTTGTGACACATATAGACGAAGGACACGAAACCCACTATAGTCAAACTTTAAAACCTAAAATTGATAGTAAAATGAAATATATTTTTACCTTACAACACTAGAAGGGAAAGAAACTAGCAGGGGGGGAAAGCGCCAAGCTATTATCTTGAGATGATTTCGGGGCTTAGTGTCCCCGCGGCCCGGTCTTCTACCAGGCCTCCACCCCCAGGAAGCAGCCCGTAGCAGCTGTCTAACTCCCAGGTACCTATTTACTGCTAGATAGCAGGGGTATCAGGGTGAAAGAAACATTTTGCCCATTTGTCTCCGCCTCCACCGGAGATCGAACCCGGAATCTCAGGACTACGAATCCGAAGCGCTGTCCACCCAACTGTCAGGCGCCGGTATTAGAGTATATAACACTGGGAAAGGGGTCAGGATAAGAATTTGAGATGGGAAGGGGGGGGGAAGGAGTGGTGCCAGAGCCACTTAGACGGTCGGGGATTGAACGCCGACCTGCATGAAGCGAGACCGTCGCTCTACCGTCTAGTTCAAGTGGTTGGGCACCATTCTTTCCTTCACTAGGAACGCTAGTGCCCAACCAACGCTAGTGCCCAACCAACGCTAGTGCCCAACCATGTGGACACTATGGAGACGAGACCGTCTCTCTTCATTGTCTTACACATGAGAATAAATGTACAAGAAATTACCTTCCTGAGAAGAAAGAACTGTCCAGTGTAGGGAGTGAGAATGGTGACGTCTGAGGGGCTGTAGCCCTGAAGCATCAAGTGGCGGCACAACGCCAGCATCAGCTCAGCCTCGTGGACATTCTCGTGACTGTTGCTCTCGTCACCTTTACCCTGCAACAGAACAGAATGACTCGCGTATTGCTTCATGTATCGTAGTACTACTCTCAAAGATTTCTTAGTCAAGGACCAAGGCTTTAGCTTCATTAAATGGAAACAACTGGTGATATTTGTTGTACTGTGAGGTGTTACTTGACGAGTTGGACACAATACTCTCAAGACGGTATATGACAAACACACCACAACACCAGGCATGATATACATATGTTACTTTGTTACAGTGTTGGACTACGAGATCGCGGCCTGACACACTGACATATTGGCCGTCACCAGGAACACTGACTAGGGGGACCTTCATCACGAACACTGACTAGGGGGACCTTCATCACGAACACTGACTAGGGGGACCTTCATCACGAACACTGACTAGGGGGACCTTCATCAGGAACACTGACTAGGGGGACCTTCACCAGGAACACTGACTAGGGGGACCTTCATCAGGAACACTGACTAGGGGGACCTTCACCAGGAACACTGACTAGGGGGACCTTCACCAGGAACACTGACTAGTGGACCTTCACCAGGAACACTGACTAGTGGACCTTCACCAGGAACACTGACTAGGGGGACCTTCATCAGGAACACTGACTAGGGGGACCTTCACCAGGAACACTGACTAGGGGGACCTTCATCAGGAACACTGACTAGTGGACCTTCACCAGGAACACTGACTAGTGGACCTTCACCAGGAACACTGACTAGTGGACCTTCACCAGGAACACTGACTAGGGGGACCTTCATCAGGAACACTGACTAGGGGGACCTTCACCAGGAACACTGACTAGGGGGACCTTCACCAGGAACACTGATTAGGGGGACCTTCATCAGGAACACTGACTAGGGGGACCTTCACCAGGAACACTGACTAGGGGGACCTTCACCAGGAACACTGACTAGGGGGACCTTAACCAGGAACACTGACTAGTGGACCTTCACCAGGAACACTGACTAGGGGGACCTTCATCAGGAACACTGACTAGGGGGACCTTTACCAGGAACACTGACTAGTGGACCTTCACCAGGAACACTGACTAGTGGACCTTCACCAGGAACACTGACTAGGGGGACCTTCATCAGGAACACTGACTAGGGGGACCTTCACCAGGAACACTGACTAGGGGGACCTTCACCAGGAACACTGACTAGGGGGACCTTCACCAGGAACACTGACTAGTGGACCTTCACCAGGAACACTGACTAGGGGGACCTTCATCAGGAACACTGACTAGGGGGACCTTCACCAGGAACACTGACTAGTGGACCTTCACCAGGAACACTGACTAGTGGACCTTCACCAGGAACACTGACTAGGGGGACCTTCATCAGGAACACTGACTAGGGGGACCTTCATCAGGAACACTGACTAGGGGACCTTCATCAGGAACACTGACTAGGGGGACCTTCATCACGAACACTGACTAGGGGGACCTTCATCACGAACACTGACTAGGGGGACCTTCATCACGAACACTGACTAGGGGGACCTTCATCAGGAACACTGACTAGGGGGACCTTCACCAGGAACACTGACTAGGGGGACCTTCATCAGGAACACTGACTAGGGGGACCTTCACCAGGAACACTGACTAGGGGGACCTTCACCAGGAACACTGACTAGGGGGACCTTCACCAGGAACACTGACTAGTGGACCTTCACCAGGAACACTGACTAGGGGAACCTTCATCAGGAACACTGACTAGGGGGACCTTCACCAGGAACACTGACTAGTGGACCTTCACCAGGAACACTGACTAGTGGACCTTCACCAGGAACACTGACTAGGGGGACCTTCATCAGGAACACTGACTAGGGGGACCTTCACCAGGAACACTGACTAGGGGGACCTTCATCAGGAACACTGACTAGTGGACCTTCACCAGGAACACTGACTAGTGGACCTTCACCAGGAACACTGACTAGTGGACCTTCACCAGGAACACTGACTAGGGGGACCTTCATCAGGAACACTGACTAGGGGGACCTTCACCAGGAACACTGACTAGGGGGACCTTCACCAGGAACACTGATTAGGGGGACCTTCATCAGGAACACTGACTAGGGGGACCTTCACCAGGAACACTGACTAGGGGGACCTTCATCAGGAACACTGACTAGGGGGACCTTCATCAGGAACACTGACTAGGGGACCTTCATCAGGAACACTGACTAGGGGGACCTTCATCAGGAACACTGACTAGGGGGACCTTCATCAGGAACACTGACTAGGGGACCTTCATCAGGAACACTGACTAGGGGGACCTTCACCAGGAACACTGACTAGGGGGACCTTCATCAGGAACACTGACTAGGGGACCTTCATCAGGAACACTGACTAGGGGGACCTTCACCAGGAACACTGACTAGGGGGACCTTCATCAGGAACACTGACTGTAATCAGGGATACTGAGTATAGGGGCACTTAGTCACCCTGTGGCTCACGAAGCGGGAGCCTAGTGAGCCGTCCACATTCCCTTACACATTGTCATCTCCCACCCCCCCACCCCCCTATATTTGACATATTTTGTCATATTATTTGATTTAAAACTTCGTTACACAAAAAGGGTTACAACATGCAGGGTACAAGGCTAATTGTCATAGGTTATAGAGTTCCTCCAGCTCCTCAGGTGGCGGGCAGGAACCATAGATGCAGTGTGCATTTCCTCTCTGGATCACCACACTAAAGTGCTGAAAGAGGAAACTGGCGGCTCTACAGTCTCTAGTTGTTTCAATTAGCTTAGAACCCAACTCTTTCAAAAACTAGCGGCACTTTTACCCGAGACACCAAGTGTCTCTTAGGCAATGGGACAAATTTGTTGATATATATATATATATATATATATATATATATATATATATATATGTCGTACCTAATAGCCAGAACGCACTTCTCAGCCTACTATTCAAGGCCCGATTTGCCTAATAAGCCAAGTTTTCCTGAATTAATATATTTACTATAGTTTTTTTCTTATGAAATGATAAAGCAACCCTTTTCTCTATGTATGAGGTCAATTTTTTTTATTGGAGTTAAAATTAACGTAGATATATGACCGAACCTAACCAACCCTACCTAACCTAACCTAACGTATATTTATAGGTAAGGTTAGGTTAGGTAGCCAAAAAAAGCTAGGTTAGGTTAGGTTAGGTAGGTTAGGTAGACGAAAAAACATTAATTCATGAAAACTTGGCTTATTAGGCAAATCGGGCCTTGAATAGTAGGCTGAGAAGTGCGTTCTGGCTATTAGGTACGACATATATATATATATATATATATATATATATATATATATATATATATATATATATATATATATATATATGGAAACAAGCCTGAATGGTCCCCAGGACTATATGCAACTGAAAACTCACACCCCAGAAGTGACTTGAACCCATACTGCCAGGAGCACTCTGCTGGCGTACAGAATCCCTTAACCGATTGACCAACACGACCGGACAAAAGAGGATGGTAGCCGAGGCTATTTCCATCCCCCTGCCGGCACTCGGTTGGTAATCTTGGGTGTGGTATTTTATATTCAGGGTATTCAGTTGCATATAGTCCTGGGGATCATTCAGGCTTGTTCGCATTTGTGTTCCTCACGTGTGCCCCAAAGAATAAAGTGATTTGATAAAATACCATGCCCAAGATTACCAATCGAGTGCCGGCGGGAAGATGGAAATAACCACGGCTACCAACCTCTTTTGTCCGGTTGTGTTGGTTGAGCGGTTAAGGGATCCTGTACGCCAGCAGAGTGCTCCTGGAAGTATGGGTTCGAGTCACTTCTGGGGTGTGAGTTTTCAGTTGCATATAGTCCTGGGGATCATTCAGGCTTGTTCGCATTTGTGTTCCTCACATGTGCCCCAAAGAATGAGCTAATTTGATAAAATACCATGCCCATGATTACCCACCGAGTGCCGGTGGGAAGATGGAAATAGCCTCGGCTACCATACTCTTTTGTCCGGTCGTGTTGGTCGAGCGGTTAAGGGATCCTGTACGCCAGCAGATTGCTCCTGGCAGTAAGGGAGCCGGTCGGCCGAGCGGACAGCACGCGGGACTTGTGATCATGTGGTCCTGGGTTCGATCCCAGGCGCCGGCAAGAAACAATGGGCAGAGTTTCTTTCACCCTATGCTCCTGTTACCTAGCAGTAAATTAGGTACCTGGGTGTTAGTCAGCTGTCACGGGCTGCTTCCTGGAGGATGGGGCCTGGTCGAGGACCTGGCCGCGGGGACACTAAAAGCCCCGAAATCATCTCAAGATAACCTCAAGATGGGTTCGAGTCACTTCTGGGGTGTCAGTTTTCAGTTATATATATATATATATATAAATATATATATATATATATATATATATATATATATATATATATATATATATATATATATATATATATATACCATCCTCTTTATACCATATATATATATATATATATATATATATATATATATATATATATATATATATATATATATATACCATCCTCTTTATACCATATATATATATATATATATATATATATATATATATATATATATATATATATATATATATATATAAAAGCTGGTCTTATAAAACCGGTATATATATATATATATATATATATATATATATATATATATATATATATATATATATATATATATATATATATATATATATATATATATAACTGGTCTTTTGAAAGACCAGAAAGTCTTAAAAGACTCTAAATACATATGAATATTTGCAATATGATTCATTAAATCATTATATAATTTTAAGATAAACTAGCCTATTACACTCAGATAAGATAGCCTACTACATTATTACATTTAATTTCAAAGCGCCACAAACCAATTCAAAATTCTTTGAATCCTTGCCAATATGGCTTCAGACCCAAAAAAAGCACTAACGATGCACTTATTAGTATGCTTAACTCGATTCATACAGCTCTTGATAAAAAGGAGTTCCCTGTTGGGTTATTTGTGGACCTGCGTAAAGCTTTTGATACTGTCAACCACCATAACCTTCTTCTTAAATTACATCATTATGGAGTCAGAGGACACTCCCTACAATACCTCGAGTCCTACCTTACTGACAGGCTCCAATATGTTTCTGTGAATAATACAATTTCTCCCACCCTACCCATCAACATTGGTGTTCCTCAGGGCAGCATACTTGGCCCTCTCCTCTTTCTCATCTACATTAATGACCTTCCAAATGCCTCCCAACACCTCAAACCAATTCTATTTGCTGACAACACAACCTTCATTTACTCCAGTCCTGACCCTCTTGCTCTAAATGCCACAGTAAATACTGAGCTAAATAAAGTCCATCTTTGGCTAACTGCCAACAAACTCACCCTTAACATTGACAAAACCTTCTATATTCTGTTTGGCAATAAATCCTCTAGTCTTATAAATCTCAAAATAAACAATACCCAAATTTGTAACAAATTAGATGGCAAATTCCTTGGCATTCTCATTGACCACAAGCTGAATTTCCAGGGACACATTCTAAATATATCAAAAAAAGTTTCAAAAACTGTGGGTATTCTTTCTAAGGTTGACAAACACTGTTTGTCAACCTATTGTATTTGTGCTGCTTTTTCAGTCATGTTCCCCCTTTTTTTTATCTTTATTTGTATTTGTTCTCAACACCTTTTATTCTTTATGCTCAATTAGTATTAAGTTCTAGATATTAATGTTTTTCTTGCCCGAAACGCATTGCGTAATAGTGGCTTTAGGCATTGTATGTACTAGCTCTATCTATATATCAATCCATTAATGTAACATCACTTGTATGTATGTACCTTACCTGAATAAACATCTGAATCTGAATCTGAATCTGATGTTTTTCAGGCGAATTTCGGAATTAATATTTGAGTTTTATTAGATAATATCGTTACTTACTTTTTTCTCATGATGAGAATGAGCAATAAAGAAGATATCAGTGGTGATGCCCTTGACGTGAGGATACTGGTGAACCGAGCAGTGGTCCTTGAGGCTCGGGTAGATAGAGGGCACCAGCAGGCGGGAGATACAAGGCCGCATGCGGTGCTGGTACTCCAGCGTCTCGTACCTGACGGAAAGCTTTCTCAATGAGTCAATAGATTAGGTGAACAGTGAATCTATATTAAACCTACAGACTCAGGGATATACTGAGTCTATTTAACACGTCTTTTCACGGATATGAGCAGGAGTCTATTTAATTTCAAAGCCACAAACCAATTCAAATTAAACGCAACCGGACCGTAAATATACGGCCCACTCGGCTAACGGGTTCCGCAACCGCGCCGTAAATAGCTGGCCGATTTAAAAAAAAAACATATAAAATCCAATTCATATTTGATCGACTTGGGGTTAGTATGAAAATGTTTGCCATTAAATGTCCGTTTTTTCTAATAGGCACATGGCCTATTTGAGAAAACGACATTGTATTGTAACTTAGAGGAGATACTATTGAGTTGGTGACACAACGAGGGTAATCGCCCAATTCACACACTCTTGTGTTGGCCGCGATCATGATTCTACATTTATATGCATATGTCTGTGCAAGGAATTTTATTGCGAGTTCAGTGATATAAAATATAACGCTGTAGGACTAATTTGGAGCTGACAACAAACAAAAGAGTATGAACATTTTGTTGCTGTTTGGGCGTCACAGCGTGTGATCTACGTTTTATTTATTTCGTGGTGGGATAGCTAATGCTTTGGTGACATGTTATACATATGATCTTGTAGAGAATTTTATTGCCAACACATTGATACCAAAATGAAATACGTAGCTCGAGAATTGGTATCAGGAGAGCGAAAAGATTACACACTTTTTGGTGTTTACGATCAAGAGCCCAAAACGCCGGGCGCACAATGCGCTAGTTTTTTTTCACGGGGCCCTCGCGCTTTAAAGTGTTAAACCAATTGCTTAATTTAATTAAACCAATCTCATCCTATAATATTTATGATGCTCATCTGAGTATCTTTCCGATATTATTCCAAGTTCTTAGTATAGTTTTTCCAACTTGGTCTCACTCTAATTGAAAATCATAGTGAATGTTGTTAAAGATTCGCTACCTGGAACCAAAAGCTCCAAGCAACACGGGCTATGGTGAGCCTGTAGATAGTTATTTTATAGTGAATATTTTTATTAGTGTCTTGTATTAAATATTTGTTTTTATTATGAAATGCAGTGATTATTTATACTAAATAAAAAAGGTTTTAAACCTGTTTCTGCCTAGATTATTGCATTCAGCTACTCATAGATTACTTGAATATTATCACCTCACCATGCTCCTGGTAACTATAATAACGACCCCTGATAAACATTATACTGATGCCTGGTAGCAACAACAATGACTCCTGTTAATCACCATACTGGTGTCTGGTAACAACAATAGTGACTCCTGTTAATCACCATACTGGTGTCTGGTAACAACAATAGTGACTCCTGTTAATCCCTATAGTGACGCCTAGTAACAACAATAATGACTGTACCACGACATGGTTTAAGAATTGCAACCTGGACTGCTACTGCCCCCACGAGAATCCCGAGGCTTCCACTGAAGCCTAACCGGGGTTTCACACAATTCCCCCATGCACTATGGGCTGGATGTTCTCAAACGCTCTCTAGTCAACTGTACCACGACACGATATAAGTGGCATGGTGAAGTGCATAGGAGAATTGTGTGAAATCCCAGATAGGCCTTAGTGGAAGCCTAGGACACAAGAGGCAGACAGCTGCTGATCTGCGACAGTATGATCTTGTAACTTTGAGCCTCTCTCCACTTTTCCTTAGCGATAATCGTTCTGCAGGAGCGAATTTGTAATTTTTTCATTTATTTTGATTGACTATTCATGTTGTGATAATTGTTTTGTACATGTTTGAAGGAGCATTATTTTTTATTATTTTTTTTCTGCCACAAATGTGGTCACACATTTACAATGCTAACCAGCATATATAAATTTTCTTCTGTCCTCCATGGACTGGGTTAGAAATCTGTTAGCATATACTTCAGTGATTTATTGAACAATCAACCACAGAAGGTGATTGTAGTGCTTATAAAATGCTAATCTAACCTACAAACATAACTGCACAGATTTACGCCGGTCCTACATAAACAGCGTTCGAGGTGTTTTTAACATAGTGTTTTAGTGCCCTAATATCCACCAGACAAGGGTAAAGTAAACACAAGTCTCTGATCCACACACATATATTCTATAACTCTAAAAGTTCAAAGAGGGTGTCAGAAAGTGTCTGGAGCCAGATTCACGAAGCAGTTACGCAAGCACTTACGACCCTGTACATTTTTTCTCAATGTTTGGAGTCTTTGATTACAATTATCAAACAGGTAATGAGCTCCGAAGCACCAGGAGGCTGTTTATAAGAATAAGAACAGTTGATTGGGAAGTTTTTATGCTTGTAAACTGTATAATTAATATAACCAAAGCCGTCAAAGATTGAGGAAAGATGTGCACATTCGTAAGTACTTGCGTAACTGCTTCGTGAATCTGGCCCCAGATCTCGTGTTCGTCCACTTGTTGTTCTACCGCTGGTCGGTTGCCTAACCTCTGCTCCTCTGCCGTTTTCTCTGAACTCGGCCTTGTTGTAGGGAGTACTGAAGTCACTACAGTACTCCCCCCCCCTCTCTCTCCACAGGCGACGAGGTACCAGAGAGTCCAGGAAACGGGCAGGCGGTGCATGGTGCGTCCAGTACGAGTAGTGTGACCCTCCATGTTGACGTCGCCGCCACTGTCGTCCATGCCGTCGCTAGAAGGCTCGGATCTGGAGATGTTAACGGTAGATAAAAGAAATCCGTAGGTACATCTTCAGGAAGAGGGTCTGCTGATGGTGGGGATTTAGTTTGTTGGTGTGGGTACCAGACCTCCTCCTCAGCAGCAGCTGGGGCCGCCACTGCTGGCATGGCATCGAGCTGTGCTGCTTTCACACGATCCATCAAAACCACCACGTCAGCACCCCGACAGTCGATAGTAATGGTTTTTGGAGTTCTCGACAGCACCCGAAAAGGTCCCTCGTATGGCTTCTGAATAGGCCGACGCACCACGTCAACCCTCAGAAACACATGGCTAGCAGAGAGAACGTCCCAGGGTATGTAGATAGGATATGTAGATGGGTGACGGGGCGTCGTATGGTGGATCTGTGACATCGCCCTCCGAAGCTACTCGATGAAAGCTGACGAGTCCATCAGATCATTGTATGGTGTTGGAATGATCAGATCAGCTGTCATCTCCACCATAGGAGCTGCCTCTAGCCGCGGAAAAGGGTCAACACACGTGAGTAGGTATGAGCACCCACCGGACAGAGGAAATAGACCGACAATATCCACATGCACCGCCTCAAATCTGGCCGATGGTAACAGAAAGTTCTGAAGCGGGGTCTGTGTGTGTCGATGTATATTTGATGGCTACATTGGAGACAGTTGCGAGCCCAACTTCGAACATCCGTGTTAATTCCTGAACATACCATCCATTTGGTCAGGAGTTGTAGTGTAGCTCGGATGCCCTGGTGAGCCAAGGAATGGAGAGCTGTGAAGATCCTCAGCCGATGGGTCTTTGGAATATATGGCCGTAGGATGCCAATGAGACGTGTCACGTGTGATAGTATCCTCGGAATTAGGGACAGGTTTGTCGAGGAGACGAAGTGCTGAGGAAGTGGTGCTCAATTGTAGGAGTTCCAGGTCCTGTCGCTGGGCTCTAGCAATTTCTGCGTAGTCGTTGTGGATTGTCGCAGGAAAAAGTGCAAACAAGCCAGGTCGAAAGAGGTCATCGGCGACGACATTCTCAGTCCATTTCACGTACCTGATGTCAGTTGTGAACTGGGATATATAGCTGAAGTGTTGAGTGACTCACAGCGAGTGGGAATCTCTTTTTGCTGCCAGGGCATCAACCAGTGGTTTGTGGTCGGTGAAGACGTGGAAGTCACGTCCCTCGTGAAAATGCCTAAAGTGTTGAATGGCTGCATATATAGCAAGGAGTTTCCTGTCAAATGTGCTGTATTTTGTCTTTGCCAGCATTAAGCTTGCTGAAAAGAAAGCAATGGGTCGCCAGGAGTCGTCGATAAATTGATGGAGTACTGCTTCTATAGCAGCGTTGGAGGCATCCGCTGAGAGGCAAGATGGTGCATCGAATACTGGATGGGCGAGGAGAGTGAGTTGAGCTAGCTCCTGTTTAAAGTTAGTGAACGCCACCTCTGCATCTGGTGACCATGGCAGGGGTACTTTGGACGCCTGCTTACACCCACACAGGAGGTCATATAAATGTTTCAGGATGTCAGAACAATGAGGGATAAACTTATGGTAAAAATTAACCACACTCAGGAATTCTTGAAGCTTCTTAGTTATGTGGGACATTTGGGGCTTGACTCTATTTATTTAAATATTAATGTAATGAAAATCAATTACGAAGGACCACCCGCTTTTATAGTAAAGAGGGAAACTAAGAAAACATGATCATTAGAACATTCCTAGATGAACCAGTAACTATGGATAAAATGCTAGAGAATATGATCAATTATATAATTAATGGGCTGTATAATTAACTGAATCAAAGCCTCAAACACCTACATTGGAGGGTTATTACTGGAACTCAATACGTCCAGGAACTAGTGTGGTTCGTTCACCAGTCCAATGTATAATAATCTAATCCTATGAATATTTATAGAGTCATTATCTTTATCATCAATGAGAACATAGATCAAGAACATAAAAATTAATAATTATAATAAACACATGTCAATCCAATGAAATAGAGTTCTGCATGTAAAGGAATACAGATAATAGAAATCAAAGGAATACGAAAGGGGTCTTAGCTTGAAGACGATTTCCGAGAAGTTAGTTACGACTCATCCTCTGATTCTCCTGGACTCGTCATGGAACACTGGGAGTTGATTAACATGGGAAATGACAGCTCGGAGAATTCTTCACACACGCTGTAAATCAAATGGTATTCAGTAGCAACAGATTAAGCTGTTAGATATCTATGTTCAAGAAATTGAGATTAATAATAAGAGTAAATAATGACCTGTAGTTTGTTATTGTCGCACGGCGTCACGACAAGCTACCCAGC